GGGGGGGGGGAAGGGGGGATTCAAATTTCTCTTTTATGTTGGTTTTGCAAATTTTTGGGGTTGACATTATGATTTATTCGATCCAATGCTTGAACTTGGATGATTGCTGATGTGTTCTGAAAGAGCACGAAGCTGTAGGTATCAAGGGCTATGAAATTATTTCACGGGGGGAAATTTGTCATGCAACTCTGTTATTTAGTAGTTGCAAATCCCAACTTGTAATGACTCTACAGCTTAATTAATAAATAAAGTACTCTCTTTTTGACCAAAAGAAGGGTTGATCTTTAAGTATTAGTCTCGTGTATTTATTCTCTTGGCTTCCTCCATTTCTCTATTCAGACATTTGATGCAAAGTCTAGTTGGAAGAGTTAGCAAATCGACTTCTGCCCTACTTTTGCTGGAGAAACGATGACTTCCCCGAAATATAAAGAAGGAAAAAAGAGTGTTTTTCACAAAAAGCTTTGCAGCAATTGAGCGAAGAACCAAACTGCAGAATCAGACCAAGGGACCACTAAAGACCCTCATGAAGACATCTTTTTCGTATGATGTTCTAAGGCATGATGTGTTATATTAGACCAGCAAGAAGTCATTCTATAAATAGAATTTAATTCTGATCTATACCAATATAAACATCTTGCACAGTGTGAAAAATATGACACATCTTACGCAAATCAACCACAGAACAATTTAAAGTCAAATAAGAGCATACTGTAACAGGGATTGGCGTCTTGCTCAAAGACAGCTATATTTCAGACAAATACAGGGCTCATCCTGATATATTTGTCTCTGGTTTAAGATACAATAAATTGAATGTATCAATATGAGATCCCTAGGAAGAGTGATGGATTTCATCTTTCAATTTTCATAGTGCCATGGGGAAGAAAATAAAATTCAGCCACCACATTATCATTGTTTATGCTATAATCAATATTTGCTATTGGTTGAGATTCAGATATTTGCCTTTTCGTTGTTTCATTGGTTTAGTGTTTATTTAGTTTGTTATGGGTGGCAGTTGACAGTTGTTTGTTAGTCATTAAATGCTCTGGATTATTATAGAGTCAGATAAATTCGACCAAAAGAATAGGAATATTCGACTGTTGAACTTGCGCAACTTCATTTGCTTATATCATTCTTTCCAAAACCAAGAGGTGCAGAAACAACAAGATGACGTTTAGCACCATGCCTTTCATCACCTTTAGTTAAGCCAACTCTTGGATTAATGAACAAACTGGTAACTACAAGAGAGAGCACACGTTGAGTATACGAGTGCCAGCTGAAGATCCCCTAGCAGGCAATCTTGACTCATCGCGTGATGCAAACTGGCATTTATTTGAAAGGGCATCAAGATTGGCATCTGTAATCCATGAGATAAACTCTAGTGAACCGTTTCAAGTTATGCTGGCCCAGTTCTAAGTGCATTGTCTAGATCGGCTATCAAATCATTGACATCTTCAATCCCAACAGAAATTCGAACTAGATCCTCAGTAAGACCTCTAGACTCGCGTACTTCAGCAGGTATAGCCACATGGGACATGAAGCAGGGCAGACATATGAGTGACTTCACACTTCCTGCAAATTTGGAGGGACCAGAAATGAGGATTGAGTCAAAGTAAAATGTAATAATAGAATGGATGACATGTAAATGAGGCATACTTTGCAGATTTAAACACCCTTCTAGCCAGAACCAAGATAGATCACTAGGAAATCATTCACTTCAGTCTGTAACTTCATTCTGTGGACTGCAGGTTTTTCGTTACAGCCAACAAAAGGATACTTTCTTTTTTGCTTTTCGATGGTAGAGTAATTTACAAATTTCCTTATATCCTTTTTATTCTCTGCTGTCACACAGAACCCACAATTTTAAGGGGGTATAATGGACTGAGCGATAACTCTATAAAAAAATGTCTGAATCTCAGCTATTTTTCCTCAAGTAAACTAGCCTAAGAGGGAACTGATTCGACACACTATTCCAAAGGAATTCACTTCCAGAGCTAAAATGGAAGTGCTAATAGATTTCACATGCAGCATCAGTATTTCTTACTTCTCGATCTATTCTATTATAGAGGTTCATAACAAATTAAGAATATCCATAGTCCTTCCCTGAGTTTTACAGCGACAAAGCAAATGTTGTTTTTGTTAAAGAAGACAAAAGTGCAGATATAAAAGTTGAGATGTGATTTTATGCATTTTCTATGGGTAAAATTTGAACTTTAATATTGGAAAAAGAGGATAGAGTATAAAATGAAACTCACCAAAACTGACAGTAATGCTGAAGTATTTGGTAGCCTCAACTACATGCTTAGAGAGTGCCAATGACCCTGTAAAAAAACTCAGTACAGATCCTGCACCCTTGGTCTGTAATACCAGCATGAAAAAGTCAAATGCCAATTGAAAACATAGAATTGATGCTAAACTTAGACAAGTAAAGGTTAGGAATAAATAATGATACCTGAGAATAGTGCAAAGATCTGCCAGGATGGTCGGGAAGACCAGCATAGTTAACCTTCTTCACTCGAGGATGGGATGATAGAAATTCAGCAATCTTTTGTGCATTTTCCTGTCATATTGTGGGAACACCATATATAAATGTAACTTCGACAGAATCTTTTCTGAATGCTATGATTGTCAGGCAAGCTTTTACTCACCAGTGAAAAGTAAACATAAGAGGAAAAAGGAACTCTGAATTTAATGCAATGAGGTAAAATTGGAGTGCAACATGAATTCTCTACACGAATATACAAGTTTCTGACTAGAATAAAAAAATTGTACAAACTCTAGAACCTAATGTAAGTGTAACAACAACTAAGTACCCGAAAAAGCTAAGTTTAATTCCAACTTTTCGATATTCCAATTTAGATCTTTTCCTTCTACTTTGTTCTGTTTTTAGCTAAATCCTTAGTGATTCTGAGAGATCATAAAACTTTTGAGACAGCTTCTTTCCGTTGTAATATTTGGTCTGCCTTGTCCTCTTTTATCGCATTCAGTTATCATATTGCTGCATCATTGGACCGTGCATATGGGGGTCTCAATAGTCCCAAAAAGTTTCTCACTCTCTAGGAACAAGAATAATAGATTTGATGAAGGAAGGCATATGCCTATGAAAAAAGTTGTATAGCAAGCAATCACAGCACATGAAACTAAAAAGCAAGAAAATCCAATACCTGCTGCTTTAATACACGCAGTGCCATTGTTTTGATCCCTCTTAAGCAAAGCCAGCAATCAAATGGGGCTAAGCCTGCACCTTCTGAATTTTGAAGGAAATATATGTTCTTTGCCAAGCTGGTTTAAATGAAAAATTATTAGCATGACACCGAAAAGATACACAAAATTAATACTCCGAAAGAGACACAATGCATTGACATCATTGAGCTAAGTTAATAATTTCCGGAGAGACTGATGTATGCAATAGTTACTTAGTAATTGCGACTTCAAGTAATTGAATATACAAAGTGAGATGACCTAATAAGAAGGTTGCTTTTCAAGTATTTTATGTTCAATCTCCCTAACCTGATAGTTTTGGCGATGAAAGCAACTCAAGGAAACTAAAGATGAAGTGAAAAAATATGATAACCGTAAATCAAGCCACGAAACCAATATGATCACATGAAAGAAGGAAAAAAAACCTTTCTCCTTTAACAGCAAGCACGCCCCCCATCAGATCACTATGGCCAGATATAAACTTAGTAGCTGAATGCATCACAAAATCTGAAAAATAACAGACCATTTAAGGTAATCAGCGCGCATCTTCCGAATGTTACCACGTGAAAGTTCATGTTACCATATATAAGAAGTATTTGTAGATACCTGCACCGAGTTCCAAAGGATGGGACAGTACAGGGGACATGATACTGTTATCTACCAGTACAAGAGCCCCATGTGCATGAGCCATCTCAGCTATTTTCTGGTAAAAGTCAGCAGGAAAAAACGCATATAAGAAAAGTGAAATTCTTCTTGATGAAGTAATTAGTTTCAATGACGCATCAAGAAGATTCAGTGAGTATAAATTATGAATTGATATTTAATAGACTTCAACATATCAGCAATCAAGTAAAGCGGGAAACAATATTTGCATAGTCTACATATGCGAAAGCCGGTTACTCACACGAATATCACAAATTTGCTGACGAGGGTTGGTTGGACTCTCCAGCCATACAAGCTTTGTATTTGGTCCAATTGCAGAGGCAACCACGTCTAAGTTAGTTGTATCCACCCGTCTGTTAACAAAGTAAAGATTAAAACACTAAAAACCAAATAGAGAACTAAGTTCATTCAGAAAAAAGAGATACTAACTTCACTATAACTCCAGTTTTTGGAATTACTTGTGACAACAGGCGGTCAGAACCACCATACATATCATCACCAGCAACAATCTCTTCACCTAAGAAATTATCATTGGTAGAGTTAAAGACGTTCTATAGCTAGGAATCCGTAGCTTGTGGAGATACTAAACCAACTTGCAATAACATGTCGAAAATGAAGTCAGTAACAGATATTAATAAAGAAATAACTAGCAAAAAGAAGGTATCTTTTGCTTTTTCATGGGGCGAGGGGGGTTGGAGGGAGAGAAAAGAACATGCAAACACAAATTGAACGAAGATTCAAGGTCTCGAAAAAAAAAAGGCATAAAGCATCTCTCATTAGCACAATTAACTTACAATCAGAAGCGATAACCACAATATTGTCTCAGAACAAACCAGATATGTATATTGTTCAGCCTTTCTAATTTTGTATGAAGAATTTTGCAAGTACCAGTTCCAACAAGACGAGCTACAGCTGCTAATGCAGTCATTCCACTAGTAAAGCAAAATGCTCTATCTGCTTTCTCAAGCTTGGCAAGCAGCCTGAAAAGTTGAAGGAGATAATAGTAATGAACACAGAAAATGTTAGCACATAAGTAGTTCCTATAAGTAG